GAGGATTATGAGGAGATATGATTTTCACTCCAGGAGAAAAAATATTAGGCAAACAAAGAGAAGCAACAGAAGGCAAGAGGAATAGCAGGGAGGAAATTGGGACTGTGTGGTTAGGTGTGGGAAGAGTGTGGTCTGCAAAAAGGCTGCTGATGAAAAAATACTAATAATAAAGAAATTAACTCAAAGACAAATCACAAATCAAAGGAAGAAGAAGCAAACAAAGGTATCCCTGTAGAGGAGAAAAGTAATGCTGGAATGAGAACAAATCTAAGGAAACATAAACATGAATGAGAATATTATGAGCTTGCAGCAATCTTCAGAAATTATTCCTTATAGTTTTTATGTAGTTATGCAGGATTTTGAAAAAGCGGATCTCAATCTGCATAGAAAATATCATATAATATTTGGGTCACAGACCATTTCCCTGTAGCACACTGCCTTTCACATTTGCATTATACAGTCACATTATGAAATACAAAATTCATCCCCCACCACTCATTCACAGTACCTACAAGGAATTATCTATAGCTCTTATATATTGAGTTTTCTGAGGCAATGGGGTCTCCCTCCTAGAGCTATGTACCATTTGGGTGTCTATTTAAGGAAGACAACATAACTGAGATACGCATTTCATAAGGGTACCTAGGGTGAAAAGGATGACACCGTCAAGGAATTTTAATTTTTTTAAATAACTATCAGAAGATAGTCACTATCTGTGATAATTTTCTGTGATGAAACAAGTAATTTCATTTGTACAGACTTTGTGATGACAGGCAATTTCAGCAGATACAAGGCATCTGCCAGCATTCTTCAGGATCTTCCTGACAAATTGCTTGCCTGCAGAGCCATGAAGAGCAGGCTTCTCCTGCCAGAATCACAGGTAGCAGAGCAGCAAAATCATACCTCCCTCAACTCTCTCTCTTGCCTCTGAGAAACCACTGTGAAAACCAGAGCACCATCAAGGCCATATCTTCCATGTGAATTCATTGCCTGTTCTGTTTCCCCTTCTCTGGCCCCGCTGGGGTGGCTGCCCCACCCTGCAGCTGCCCAGGCTGGCACTGGGACTACCACAGCAGGAGCAGAGTCAGCTCTTTCTAACAGCAGCTTAGGAAGCACCTGTTTAATTGTGCTGTGAGATTCATAATTGAATAGTTTTTGCTGTTTGTTGGAGATAAGATTTATTTCTTCACATTTTGGTTTTATTGGGGAGGGACTATTTTCATTTTTACTCTAGAAAGCCGGGCTCATTTCTCTGCGTTTCAGAGCAGAGGACATTAAATACCTGTGCAGCATGTAATACGTTGGGAAGATCAGGCAGTAGCTTAAAATTGCCTTTCTTCTTATGGCACATAATGAATGGGATCTGCTCCGTCAGTCCTTGGGAGGCTACAGAATTCAATTACTCTCCTCTATTTCAAAGAGCACCAGCAGCAAGATACTGCCTCCGACACGGTGTTACAGACAGATTTAAGAATGGAAAAGACAAAAGGTATTTACAAAGCATTTTATGACTGCTTTTCAGCTGTCCTTGGGCATATCCTTCAGAAATGGCTATGCATGTATGTGATGCTAAATGGTGGTGCTGCTTCACCTGAAGGTACTAAACTGTGTACATGTTTCCACTACAGGGCAAGGCTAGCCTGAGACATTCAGCCCACAGAAAAGACATTTTCTCTGTAAATCACCAGCAAATGTCAATGCTCTTACAATTTTAACAGTTGTTAAAGGCAGAATCTCAAGGTCAGTTCGAAATGGAATCAAATTTTACTGAGGATTAACATTTGTAAACAGCAATCTTTGAAAAACCTGTATCAATATATTTTGAAGAAAGCTATTTTTTCCTATGAAAAGAACACATATATGATCCCTTAAGGCTCTTTATGGCTGATGGAGTGTGCTGAACCTGAGCAGAAGATAAATAAGTTGAATTTGAGATTAATTTCTGAAAATGCAAGGCCTACAGCCATTCATGTTTGTTTCAACAGTTGCAATGTAGAGAAAGTCCAGCTCCTTTGAGAGATTTTAGCACGAATATGAAACTTGGTAGTAAATTTTATGGTTCTATTTGCTTTGCAGCATAACTTAGAGCCCTGTTTATTTACTTGTACACCTCACTGTGACAGACACGAGTAATGAAAGAGGCAGTGGCCCCAAGAAAGCTTGCACTGAAAAAGACAACAAAATCACCTTTGCACGCTGGAAAAAACAAAATATTCTCAAGACCTTAGTATATAATGAGAAAAGACAAGACAGATTACTAAAACGAGAAAACAAAACAAAATAGGTGACACTGTCTTTTTCTTAATAAAGTGTTTCACTTTCAGAATGACATAGTTTTTAACCTTCTGAGAGGAAAGATGAGACATTCAGATAATTCACCGTGTAACAGGAGCAGCTGTTACAGCAGGCCAAGGAGATGCAAGTGGGTGTGGCAAATATCTACAAAGTTGTGTGAAAATCCTCTTGAGAGAATAGAACCCATTCCATCTTTTAAAAGTATTTTAAAAATTTAAGTGTTTTAATTATCCTCAAATTATTTGTATATGCATGTATACATCTGTATACATGCCTCTCATACTTTATTGTCTTTGAATAACAAGAAACAGGATCAGAGAATTGAAGCACCCATGAACTGGCAGAGCATATTTAGGAGAATGACAGGGAAATCCATTTCATTGGCTGGTGGGGATACTTGAGGCGAAGTTTTCACTCCACTTGAAAACTTGCACTTGCATTACTTTTAGACAATGGTACTTTTCAGCAGCGTGTTGGCATCCCATAACTCTCTAAGTTTTTTGGTAGTTACACTATGAATTTAAAGAATATATGACCCAATAAGTAGGTTTTATCCTCTCCTTCAAAAACAGAAATCATAAGGTACATGCTATTCTTTGCAACAATCACCAGCTGAGCCCACCATGCTGCAGGCAGACATGTGTGAACTAAGTAGAGATGTAGAAGCAGACCCTTTATGGTGCAACAATATGACTCAGAGCCCATTTGCCACAACACATGATTCACAACAGTGAAGCAGAAGTCTTCAAAGGCCATGAATACATTAAAAAAAGAAGTCAAGTTTTCTCGTCAGTCACCCAATCAGTCTAGATCTAAGTGCTCTATCTGAACTAAGCAAGTCACACAGAGCTGAGGACACACCTGTTTATCTGTGTCTTGTGTACCTATCTTGACAGGGCACTGAACCTGAGAAGTTGGAAATTCCATGGTCGTATATTTTTAAATAGCTCCCAGCCAGGCAAGTGGCTTTAGCTCATGAGCACCCACCCAGATAATTATCCTCTTGGCTACATCCTTTCCTGTGGAACACTCAGAGGCCTGCTCAAACTGCATGTGGTCAGGGGTCTGAAGCTGATGTAAAGACCCTCACCTACATCCTCTTCTCTCATCTCAAACTCCTCAAAATCACAGGTTTGCACAAAGTATGAAAAGACACTTATGGCAGTCCTCAGTAAAATAATCGGAGGATGACTCATATAACTCAATCTTATCTTTAGAAGAAAAATAATGACAAACAGCTGACATTTCTGGGGCTCTACAAATCCACCTCTGTATTGGCATCAGTCAGGCTCAGGTCTCTAGCTCATGAGAGCCACTTTGCCATATCTGTGTTTGGAGGCAGAGCAGATGCCCATGATACAGTATTAACTGTGCTGGTGTGTGAAGTCTGGCAGGAGAATAAGGACATCTTCTGTATCAGCTATAAGAGAAACTGGAGTCTGATCCAGAGGAACCACAAAATTGCCTTATGTGGCAAAGCCCTGACTTAGAAAAGTACAGAAATAAATGCCTAAGTATAAGACTAATACATAACAGAAAGAAAAAACATGGAACTAGACAAAGCATAATTCATACACATGGGAAATGCATGGCATCACATATCTGGTAAGAGGACTGAACATTAAATACCATATTTGAAAATTGGGTGGTTTATCTCAAGTGAAATAGGATTTTGTTTAATTTTTGTTTCTCTCAGAGCTGGGCAAATTACATTTAGTCTCCCAAATGTGAACAGCAGTTTTAAAACTTAGCTGATCCTAATCCTCTTCCATAATTCTTCTCTGCCCTAGATATTATCCTCTGACCTCTATGTCACAGCACTTTAAAAATGTGCAACTGCCGAACTCATTACACTTTGGACTGAAGCATGAATGTGTATCAGCTATTCTCGCTGGCCTGTAATGCTCAGAGGTCCTCTCTGAATGGTAAGTTACATCTCCCACAGAGATTGAGTGACTGAGACAAAAAATACAACAGTGAAATTATTTTTTAAGTTATTTTTAGGCCTGGGGAGAATATCTTCTAGTTACATCAGCATTGGACATGCTGTAAGAAACACACTAGAAAGAGCTGGAACAGCATTCAGCCTCATGAGAAGGGAAAGAAATGGAAATAGGACAAACGAATCCAAACCAAACCAAAATCTATCATATCTGTGCCTTTTGTCAAATTTCATTTCCTTTTTTTTTTACATATGGAAACACTTTTCTCTGAACCCCATGCTATAGGATGGATTTTCAGCTCCCTTGACATTGTCTGTGGCATACATTTTAGTAGTTGAAAAGCCACTAAATTTTATAAGACTGGTGATGCAAGGCGATTAGAGACCAAAAGGAAAGGTTCGTGAACCGTAAGCAGTCAGCCTCACTTTCACAGGCAGTTATGACAGAGCTTGGTTTCATGTGAAACCTCCCTTCACATCCAATTAAGTCAACCTAGAGCTCTTTGCTGCCTTATCATACATTATGAATAAAGAAGAGATAAAGAAGACAGAATCCACGAAAGTAAGGAAAACAAAAAACAGTTATAGAGAAAATGAGCATTTTCTGCAATCTGACACTTGTCACAAGTTGAGTGCCAGTAGTTTAAACATTTCTCTCTCAGACCCTAGGCAAACTGAAGGTGCAGCCCACTTGAAGGGCCTCAGAAGTGAGGAAAGGAGAGAGAAGAGCAAAGAAAACAATTCATAGGAAATGTTCAGCTACCTCTTAAGTGGGGGAGCATGCTATCCTCAGGCTTCTGCTGTTTACAATAGATGTCTCAGAACCTTTGGGGTTACCTGCAAAAGCAAACACAGGAAGTTATGAGTAGGTTCTGCCCAGAGTGCACACTGGCAAATAATCATAGCCAAAAGAGGTAATAGGAGAGGGGAAAGTCCCGCCCTCCCCCAGAACAAAGGAACTGTTTTACAATGGAAGTGCAATGGAAATGCAAGAATAAGCTGAGAAAGAAGTTTCACAAGTGAAACAGTCCAGTTCCTCAAGTGAGTGATGCTAAATTCACTTCTGCACTTTGTAAACTGAATTAAAACCAGAATTATTAACCAGAGGGTGATTAATCTTCTTCTTCCAAATATGAACCTCTGAAATTTTAACTTTAATATAGGTGAAAAGATCACACAAGCTAAATGATTGGTGTGGTTTAGTGTGGCAGGCAGCTAAACACCACACAGCTGTTTGCTCACTTCCCAGAGTGGGATGAGACGGAGGACTGTAAAAAAGGGAAAACTTGTAGGTTAAGATAAAGGCAGTTTAATAGCATCTAAAAAGAAGGGAAAATAATAACGATAATAATAAAAAATATACAAAACTTATTATCTACAATGAAATTAGTCACCACCCACTGACTAATGCCAGTCCCCAAGTAGTGGGCTCCCACCCACAGCCAGCCTCCACCAGTTTTATTGTTCAGCATGATATTGTATAGTAGGGAATATACCTTTGGCCATTTGGGGTCAGCTGTCCTGTCTGTGTCCCATCACACCTTCTGGTGGTCCCCGCCTCTTACTGACAGGACAGCATATCAAGACTTAGGGAAAGTGCAGCTCAGCAACAACTAAAACATCAGTGTGTCACCAGCATTATTGTCTTCCTGATTGCAAAATACCACTATACTATCTACTAGGAAGAGCATTAGTTCTATTCCAGCTGAAACCAGGATAATAGTCCCTCCTTACTCTAAACCATATATGTCATGCCCAAATCCTACACTTTCCAATACATCCTGACTAATCATCACCTTTCCTGTCTTTTCATATACATACAGATATAGTTTCATTAGTCTATGGGTAGTCTCGTGGAGAAATTTAGTCCATGAGTTTGGGCTCCATCTGTCACAGCAGTCCTTCAGGGCAGGAAAGATGATCTGTGATGGATGCTGAAGCCAGTTCTGGTTCTGTCACTGCTGAGCTTGTCTGGTTCTGTCATTACTGAACTTTCATTGGTTTCATCAGAATTAATTTCTCATTAATCCAGATAATTCTTACTGCAGTAATGTTGATATGGCATATAGCAACCATAGTGGAGATGAAATACAGTATTATGCAGCAATTAACATCTTACAATTCAAATAGTTGTCCAGTCTTAGCCAAAATCAAATCCCCATGAGGTACATACCAGAGTTCCCGACCCTCCTGCATACCCACCAAGTGTACCCAGGTCCTTGAGCAAAAGAAGTCCTGTGGATGGATCTGCCACTGCCTGAGGCAGGAATAACCCAGAGTGACTTCCCCAGCATGTTTTTAATGTGCCCTACAGAACTTCATCCCCTTCTATAGTATGTGAATTTTTATTGGGCAGGGCCAGCTCAATTGGCAGATCACCTAGTGTTGACTAACCAGGAGGCTTTTGCTAAATTTGCATTCCAATATTTGAAGGCCCCAGCAGTCATTGCCCTCAGTGTAGTGTTAAGTCAGTTATATAATTTGATTTTCCGTCACTTGGGTGGATCCTGTTTGCTACCGGTGACCAGTATAAATGGCATAGCAAGTGACTGGCCATCTGTCCCCTTAGATTATGGGGGCTTCATTCTGCTCTCTGTCCCTGTCTTTCAGCTCAGAGAACTCTGTACCCCAAAAGCAACTGCTCTGACTATTAAAACTCAGGCAAAGAGGCATTAAGTATCTCAGCCTTTTTCTTATTTTTTTACCACAATTTTTAACCCCTGCTTCCAGTAAAGAATGAGATTTTCCTTAGTCCCCCTTTTGCTGCTGATGTATTTGTATAAACATTTTAATCATCTTTTATAGTGGTAGCCAGATTAAGCTCTAGTTTAGCTCTTCTAATTTTCTCCCTGCACAACCTCACAGCATCCTTGCAGGTCTTCTGTTTTGCTTGTCCCTTCTTCCAAAGGGCATGAATACTCCTTTTTTGCCCAAGTCCCAGCCAAAACTCCCTGTTCAGTCAGGCTGGTTTTCATCCCTGCCAACTTGTTTTATGGCACCAGGGATGGCCTGCTCAAAGCAGCAGCCCAGATGCTCTGCTTCCATTGCTGTAATCAACCCCACAGGGCATTTGCCAACATCCGTGAGTCAGTAGAGATAAAACACTGCCTCCTTTTCTCAGTCAGCAATATCTAAAGCCAGCTGGATGGCCTTCCCTTAAGCAAATTGGCTCTATTCACCTTCTGCAGCAGTTTCTGGGACTTGTCATGTAGTACTCCATACAGCAGTTTTCTACTTCTGATGCTTTCCTACAAAAAGACCAATTAGTGAACAGGGCATAATACTTCTCATTTTCTGGTAGTTTATTATACATTTGGACATCATCAGCACACTTCACCTCCTCTTCTGGCGATACTTCAAAACTTTGCCTTCTGTCCAGTTCATGATCTCTCTCCAAGATTTCTGGGCAACTGAGGTTTCCTAGTTGAGCCTGTTGTGTGATCTCTATCCTTTGAACACCCAGACCAGCACTGGCAGTCAGGATGCCAAGAGGAGCTACCCTTGAGTACCAATCATTTCCAATTCAATTCAAATCCTTTCTCAAGCTGAGAGCACCTCTTTTTCAGTTGGAGTATAATGGACTTCACATCTTGTGTATCCTCAAATCTCAAAACCTAGGGTTTAACCTTGGGTCTTCCCTGGTGCTTTCTGAGAGAGACTGCCAGCAGGGTTATTTTCGCTGGCCATGGTGTAGGACACATATCTTACATCTCGTCTTCACCAACTGACCCAAGGGTTACTGTATGATCTCCTGTTTGATTTGTTCAAAATCTTGTTGTTGCTCAGGGTGCCACTTGCAATTTGAAATTTCTTTTTTTTTTTTTTTTTTTTTTTGGTCATTGGATAAAGTGGGCTTACAATCAGGCTGAAATTTAGAGTATGGTCTCTTAAAAACCCAGAATACTTGAGAGAGCTTGTGCTTCCTCTCCGCTGTTTGGTGGAGACATTGTTATTTTGTTGATTACAAATCCAATGGCATTTGTGATGTTCACCTTGATGTTGGATACTAACAATTTTATTCATAAAAATTGGATGTGAAGATTCCTTGAACTTACTTCACTTTGTAGCAAAATCATATCATCTTTCAGAAAGGCTTGGATTATTTTCTTCTCTTTTCCAAAAATTTCTGTTGCTGTATTTCCCCATATATATGATCAACATATTGCAGGTGTTCCAGAGTTTCCCCCTTTTCCAGTGCAGTCAGGATCAGTGCATGGCGGGTGGTGGGCTTGTGTTTCCACCCCTGGGGCAGTAGGTTCCAGGTGTACTGAATATTCCTCAGGTTTGATCAACTATCCTCCATGTGTACTCTTCAGCTTCTGGTGCTCCCTAGTCTCTTCACATGTGGTGCATCATGAGGAGTTGATAAGTCCTTGACTTAGGGTAAATGCTGCTCAGCAACAGCTAAAACACTGGTGTGTTACCAACACTATTCTAGTCCTAAATCCAAAACACATCATTGTACTGGTTATTAGGAGGAACATTAAATCTATCCTGACTGAAAGCAGGTCAATGATCATGTCAACTAAACTGTGTGTTTTCTTCCAAGCTAGTGACCTTGGTAGCTGTTCAAGTCCACATTGAGGGAAATACTTTTATGAGAAAGTGTTAGGGTAAAGGGGAAGGAAAAAATGTAAACAGCTTTACTTTACAGCCAATCCATAAAATAATAGAATTCCATTAGCACATCCAAAAGACCAATCTGAAAAATACTACAGCAAAAATATCAGACAGAAGGTGTTCAGAGGCATCAGATGGATACCTCAGGATAATATATACTTTAATCTTTATAACGTCTCCAGAAAAGAATTCTAGCAGCTGATTGTTGATATGGTGCTAATATTTTTGAGACTGACAATCATATTAGTACCAATCCTTACTTCTATGAGGAACTTCATCTGAATAAATAGACGGAAGCATTTATTGAAATGGACATATATGCATCATCCTCTGACTGCCCTCTATGTTTTAACCAAGTTTTCCAATTAGAATAGTACTTATTTTTATATCCTAACTCAGAAATATAAAGAAGCACAAAGATGTCATCAGAATGCCTCAGGCTTCCTCACAGAATTGAAAGAAACAGTCATCTCAGCAAAACTCTCTTTTTCTTCCTTCTATTGATTTTTTATTTTAAGAAGCAACAAAAAGCAAAGCAATTTCTCATTCAAAGTATGGTGCCCATGCCTCAGTTTTCAGATGATATTTTAAGCTGTGCTGCTGTTTGCTGTGTTTTAGTACATGTCAGTGAATCTTCATAGCACTAACACAGAAATGGGAACTTCACATCAGGTCTGATACTTTACATCAAGTATACAGAAAAATGAACAACTATTTTGTGTCCAGATAAATTCAGATATAAGAAAATATAGTTTCTTATCTCGATGTCTCTGCAGCCTGGATTTCTCTCTAATGTGAACATAAGATGACATGATTAATCAGGCTTTAATAGAGAAAAAAATTTTGGTTCACACACGGAAAACACAGAGGGGGCAGTGATGATTAGAAAATTGCAGCAGGATAGAAGAGGACTTTTTATTGTTACAAGCTGTCTGCATATGTCACCAGAATCCTCAAGAATTTATAAACATTCAAAAATTTAAATTGAAAGTATTGTTTTTTAATTTCTCCCTTTTTTCTCCTTTCTTCCTTTCTTGCTTTCTTTCTCTCTTTCCCACTTTATCTCTCTCTCTCTCTCTCTCTCTCTGTATCTCCCTTTTTCTCTCCCTTTCACTTTTAAAGATATTCAGGGTTTACCTTAACCAATAAAAGCATAATGAAGAAAAGCAATGTGAAAAAAGGGAGTGAGACTAACCTTATTCTTAAAATTTTACCTGTATTTTAAAATCTGGAAAAATCGTAGCACATGTTTATTCAGCATTTGCTGCACAAGCTTTCTATAAATATTACATTTAATATGTCTTGAAATATTCTCTCATGTACATATTAAAAGAATGTAGTGTTTTCAAAATTAAAATTATTAATTTGGATATAAAAAGTTAAGAGAAAAATTATGATAATAAAATTACTCACTACAATTTATTTGGTAACATAATTTGGAAGAAGGCTATTCTAATGAATATATGGTCATTCAGCTGACATCTACATCAGCACAAGCTGTGACAAAAATGGACTACCTTCATACCACAGAACAATATGGATAATGCAATAACAGGAATTTTAACTGCTCAGTAAGTTAATGAAGCATGATAATGAGACTTTATGAAAGAAACAGTCGTCACTTGAATAAAGAATTGCAAAAACCAGGAAAAATTAAGAAAATGACAGATTATGGCAGCAGAACAGGACAGACATCACATGCTGTGGGGCAAAAAAAATAAATGGATAAAATGCCAAACTAGATTTGTGGATGTCTTGTGTATATATCCTACTCTTCAGAATGTGAGAGCATGTGTATAAACACTGAGTCCTGATAGAAAATTGCAACTTGTCAGCAACTGCTGACAGCTCTATACAAGAACATAAAAAGCAGCAGTACTTTGTTCCTGTTAGTGAGATTATGGAGGATTAGACTAAGAACACTTCTTGTTGGAAAAATATTGCGTAATTCTTTTTCTTTTACATGTGGGACATTTTAACTACAGGCCTTTTTAAGAACTTGCTAAGCTAAATTCACCCTCACAACTTTAGAAATATAATACAAACACTGAAAAAAATAATTTTGCTTCAAGGCAAGCTTGCTTTGTTGACTCTAGGTGAATGTCTGTGAGGCATTCATTGAATTCAACAGAGTTGCATAAATCACAAATGACAAAAGGTAGTGAATCTAAGTCTTGGGAATATCCATTAATTTTAAAATATAATTTTATTTTGATGTTTCAATTTTAGGTGGTGGGATGGATGAGCTTGTTTTGAAAATGTGACTTTGTGTCCCAGGGAATACTTCAAGAACCAGGCATGGGTGCCCAAGAACAGCAATCGCTGTCAGGTTCTCACTGAGCAGAGACCAGGTCCACTGCATAAAGCAAGTGGGCAGAAGAGCCCTGACCTGAACCTCTCCTTGGTTTTCTTTTCCTGGCAGCAGATAACGTCCATTGGCTTTACACCATGGTATGCTATCCTTTACCTTACAATGAGCCCTGGTTTTCCTCCAGGACTGCAGATAAGATTGTTAATTAAGGCACACAGCTATCACATACTACTTAACTTCTGTGTGCACTTAAAAGAAATCCCACTATCCAATCCAAAACCTTCGCATAAATACACCTGCAGTTGTTACCTTTGTATAGACTTGAAA